CTCCACTGCTAGGAGCAGGGAGGCCACTTCCACCCTCTGGATGGCTCCGCATATCTCTGTCTCCCACAGCACGGACGGGGCAGGAGGGTCTGGTTTTAAACCAGACGAGAAACCTGCCCTGCTGTCTTGTTTCGAACCCCTGCCCTGTGCCATTTTACCTATCCATCTGAGGCAAAGAGGCAGTCCCGAAACAAGCAAAACCAGGGAGCTGGACAGGGGACAGATTGGATTTGTCTCCAGTGTGGAAGGGATTGTCACTCTCGAATTGGCCTTCTCAGCCACACAAGACACTGTTCCAAGACCTCCATACAGAGCACGATACCATAGTCTCTCGAGACTGAAGGATGCCTACACACTGTTTATTTAAGATAGTTATATGCCGCTTTTCTCCTAATGGGCCCTCATGGTTTTGTTAAAAACATGTGCTTTGCTTAATTTTTTTAGGGTTTTACAGTGAGGCAGGTTTCTACACTTTTATTCCCGCTTCAGCTAAAGGCTGGTTTTTCTTTCTTTTAAAAGGATTGTACGCCGCCGCCTGGAGCACTTCCTTGAAGTGGAAATCAATGCAAAAAATAAACAGACGGAGAACACTTTCAAACACGGTTGCTGCAAACTTTCCTCTCTGCATCTAGCTAATGGCACCGGGGAGCAGGTGCCCTGCATGCCCGGTTGATGTCATTCTGCTCTGTGACCCTTTCAGCTGCCGTGAAAGTGTTTTCAACATGATAGCTAAGCCCTGAGATTAACCCCCACAAACTTTGGGGGGCCCACACCTCTTGCCATTTCCACAACACTCTTGCGTGGCAGGTTTAGCAGAGAGCAAGAGATTGGAATGGGTACTCTTAGCACTTTAAGGCTGTGCAGGGAATTGAACCCACCTCTCCCTACTTCAGTGTTTCATGCAGGTAGACAACTGGAGGAAGCATGCAACGCTGCTTTATTCTGAATCAGCACTATGGTGTCCATGGAAGGCCAATATCCCCAACTCTGGCTGGCAGCAGCCAAGGATTCAGGCAGGAGTTTGCCTTCACCCTGGCAGGAGCTGCTTCCAGGATTCGGACCTGAATCGTTCTCCATATGGTGCAGAGTCTATGCCATTATGTCAGGGCTGTTCTACTAGATAGCAGTTCCATGGGCCTCAAAGAGGACTAGTTTCTTTCCTCCACCACCCTCTGCTTGAACCTTGGAAAAATGGGTTGGCTCTCCCCCGTCTCTGCCCTGGTGAGAGTTTAGTCAGGCTTGTTCTTCTGCCCTCGGCTGTTACTGGAGGCGCAAGAGCAGGGCCAGAAGGGTGGAAAGGAGCCGTTGGCAGCCATAAGTCTTGCTCCAGCCTTTATCTTGAAAACTTAGTCGAGTCCTCTCACTCTCTCGGAGGTGGTCATTTACTATCTGCAATTTACAGGGAAATTATTGGAAAAAAACACTCCGGCTGACATAAGATCATTAAGCCATAAAAAATTTCAACTAATCAGCAACGTAAGGTTGCATAAGATTTGATAAGGTTTATGTCCGTGGGAGCCATTTAGAAAAGCCAACGAGAGAAAGGGACGAGGAAAGGAAGCCGGAAACTGGGCTGGGTCCAGGCCCTTGATTATTATTTGTAGGGGTGGGGTGGGGGCGGGGAGACTTTTTCTCTCCTGGCTCCAACCCCCCCCCCTGCAGCCGCACCTTAACAAACCAGAAAGATGTTTGCTGTTGGTTTTAAATAGCTGGATGGCTTTTTTTTTTTTGTTCCCAGGGTTTAAAACAGGCCAAGACACACGTACCTCACAGCGAGCCACCAGGAACTCAATGGGGCTTACTTTTTCAAAGAGACATGGCTGTAGGGGGTATACATTCAATCAATTTAAAACAAACAAACAAACAATGGGGAAAAAATCACCTGAGACGCTACGCACAATGCCTCTCCCCTCCCCGAAGAACAGGACGGCGTGCAGGGAACACACCGGGTGCCACCAGACAACGAAATGACTCAAATGGTCAGACCGGCAAAGGTGTGCTTGTGCGCCTCAAAACCTGACAGGTGGGGTCCTGGCTAGGCTTCATTCCTGCCTGCCCCGAGGGGCTGCCCTAGATGGCCCTTCAGAGAGCCCAGTCTAGGTTTGGATAGCCCGCGTGGATGCTCTCAGAGGACCCAGGCATGATGGGGGGGGCTTAGATCTCAGTCCCCCCCCCTGTGCCTGCCTTTTCCCAGAACAGCTGAGAACACTCTTCCCCCCCTCCCTGGCAAAATTCTGGACTGATTACCAGCAATTAGCCCTATAAAAGTTGATTAGGATTCCCTGGCCGCACCTGCAAGTGGATTAGGCCACTTCTTCCTAGGGAGCCCTCCTACCAGTACCTGACAAACATCCTTCTCTCTTCCCCCACCTCTCTTTTTTTTAACTACAGCGCCCAGAATCCCGCAGCCAGCGTCGCTAGGGGATTCTGAGCGTTGTAGTCCTAAACACATACCCCACCCCCCCAAGAAAGCCAGGGATTATTTGACATTTGGGCCCGCCGCTCCTGCGCGTCCTCTTTTTGTCTCCGCCACCGCGCCCTTGAGTCCACCTGCGCAACGCCTGGCTTTGGAGGTTTTGCGCTTTTACGCGCCGCGGTCGGCCGGACGGGGTTTTCGCTAGGGGATTCTGAGCGTTGTAGTCCTAAACACATACCCCACCCCCCCAAGAAAGCCAGGGATTATTTGACATTTGGGCCCGCCGCTCCTGCGCGTCCTCTTTTTGTCTCCGCCACCGCGCCCTTGAGTCCACCTGCGCAACGCCTGGCTTTGGAGGTTTTGCGCTTTTACGCGCCGCGGTCGGCCGGACGGGGTTTTTTTTCCCCCCCCCCCCGGGCGGTTTTGGAGAGAGGGGCGCGTTCGGGCTTCCTTTGCGCGTGGGTTTTACGCGCGCCGCGAGCCCTGCGGAGCTGCCCGGAAGGCCAGGAGGGGTCTCCACCGAGGCCGAAGGAGTTGGGGGGGGGAAAGAGAGAACATCCGAATAGAAAGGAGCACGAGCCCCCCGCCCGCCCGTTCGCTCCGCTCTCCTGCT